GACCTGATGAACATATGCGCAAGAGTTGTTCGTAACTCCCATCATTCAGTAGATCCATCCGCTGATCTAAGAGGATATCAAAGGACAATACATTCTCATGCTGTGCCAAAATGGCTGAACTCAAAGGTCTGGTGGCACCGGAACATATATCCAGGAACAACTTGGAGTCCCCCTGATTGAAGTTAGGTAATGAAGGTGAAATTAATGTTGGTGAAACCGATGGAACCTCTGGCTCTCCCTGGGTCATTTCGACCTCTGTAGCCTCCTTAGGAGGAATGTCGGGAGCTACTGCCACAGCCACGGCACTGGTTGAGGCCGCTGAACCTGAAGTTCCTGCTTCTGATTGCTCTAGTCAGTGAGTTGTATTCTGATGCTGCAATGCGCCATGCTCCAATCCGCATGCCTGTCCATTCACTGGGTAGGCGCAAGCATGATGAAAACGGCAGGAATCGCCTAAAGAGCAATTCCCTGTTTGATACCTCATGCACAACTGTTTCCACTGACCTTCTTTGGTTTTTGCATCTGTCAACCATTGAACCTTGCCTTTGCCTTTTGATTTTCCTTTACCCTTGGAGGGTTTGCCTTTGCCCTTGCTCTTGGATGGACCTGAAAAACTGGGCTGTGATGGGGCCGAAGGGATCTTCATTGGACGTGGCCTCAATTGCAAAAGTCCTGGCAGGTCATGACGAATGTGTGTGAACTCGTGTAGGCAATTATCCATATCCCATCCACGCTCTGACATTAAATCTGCAATTGCAGCCCAGATTTGGCGGTCCGCTGACTGCGCTTCTGTAATGGATGCACAACGCAACATGCTCTCTGGGTCCACCTTCTGGGTCAGGAAGCCGAGAAATTTTGCTGAGTAGGCCTTGAGGTTGGCCAAATGGGCTCCACCGCACATTGCCACTGCCATGTCATGAACGGCCAACAGATTTCGGGCTGCATTAACGCCAAATCCTGTGTTTGATATATCAATGGCTGGTGGTTCATCCACCAACAAATGATGTAAGGAGGCTACCTCCAATTTTGGCATCTTGGTCTGTCGCTGAGAGGTGACCTCTTCAGATTTCGCCATGGTCAATCTATATTTCCAGGGGATCCATGCCCATTGTTTCTTGCCCAATTGATGATGCACAAGGCTAAGCAGTCTCGTGCTTGGCATGGTATCATGATTGACCAACTCTGAAGGGTAACTGGCCAAAAATTTGGTTTTCATCTGATCAATCACTGTTGCATCTAACTTCGGTGGAAAACTCTCCGCCCAAGTTCCAGGATTCGCCATAGGATCCGAAGCCGCTGAGGCAGGTGCAGCCTGGTTATTGGTTAATGCTGGTTGTGTCATTTCTTGACACATCTTGAACGCCGCCCTCAGTGAAGCTTTCTGCAGCAGTGAAGGTTCTTCCTCTGGAAAAAACTCCGGCCACAGGCGATCAAACGCTTCTAGATTCACTGCAGCACACGCAAATGTTGGAACCGTCCAGCCCATTTGCACCAGCTGTGATGCAATGACTGGTTCAACGCCACATGCCGACATGGCATCCTCTAATGACTTTGTAGTCATGACGCAATTTCCTAAACAAAGGAAAAATTAACGCCGAGTATTCTCATCAGGAGATGAGGATTAATGCATGAAATTGACGCCTGCCTCGATGTTGTGAAAACCTGTTGAGTGATAAACAAAAAATTTGGCCCATGGAAAAAACACACGCGACTGACCTATCTGAACTGCAAAACGAGCTGAGTGCCGGACTTAAAGGAAATGGGTCATTCCTTGTCCACATGGTCATGGGGATACCTTTGATCTTTGTGTCACCGGTATGTTCTTGTTTTTTTAAAAAGAAATCTTTTTTTTTTAAATGGCTGCGGAAAAGAGCATATATTGAGCCATGATGCAAGCACACAAATGTGGAGGAATTGAGAAAAAATGGGATTGTGAAGTCATGCACATCAAATTTGTGGAACGCTGCCGATGAAACCCCTGCTGCAGGGGCATGAAATGATTTCTTGACTGCTATTTCTCAACGTTGTGAGTGCAGCTCTGAACGCTTTTTTCTTTTTTGTGGTGCAAATTCCAGTCACTGCAAATTTATGGCTGCCCACACCCTCTTACAACCTGCATGTTGGCAAAATGCCATAGAAGGGTGCCATTCATCCAAAAATTCAGTTTCCGAATGTCTCATACGCGCGCCACAGGACGCCTTCCACAAATGCCCCATGAAAACAGGTCTGGACTCATTGCCGTCATCCATAATCACCATAGCATGGGTGACCCGTCGATGGCGAGCAAACACAGCTTCGTCCGCTTGTATTGGTTCCTGCTTCTTGGGGTTCATCTCCTGAGCTGACAAAGCCTGTTCAGAACTTTTGCTGTCAGTGTCACTGTCGCTGCTGCTGGGGTCCGTATCGGATTCTTCAGAGACAACCTCTTGAACCGGTGGCAGTTCCTGGGGTTCCTCATGGTGATGAAATGGAAGCCATTCAAACCTGTAGTCAGGTGCCGCTTTTTTGTAGCGCTCTAAGACAACCGTTGGCTCCACAAGAGGAAACTGTCCCCCTCTATGTTGTGCAGTTTTAGGCCTCCATCCTTGTTGAATCTGTGATGTGACTGTCTGTTGATAACGGAGAGAACCCCAAACGCTATCGCGACCATACAGATTTAAAGATTGTTTCTGATCCTGGTGATGTCCTTGTAAAAGACGATCTGAGTCGCTGACCAAAGTGCCCAACTGTGGCCCAAAGCTCAAAAGCGTGGCTTTCATGGAATGAAGTGTGTAAGTCATCTGAAGCCGCTCTAATGGATGGTCCCCTTGAAAGCGCTTCCATGGGGTCATCAACATCGCTCTGAAAATTTTGGTTGTTCCCGCATAGTCCAATGGTTCAAACTCTGGGATAGTGCCATCCGGTTGCATGGCAGGAATCAAAAAATCACATTGTGAACGTGGAATTTGAAGGTCCCTCATGAGCTGGTCCCATGTTTGCAAAAATTTGAAAAGCCAGGTGAATGTCCCTGTACTGCATAGGCCTGCCGCTTGTACCCCAAAGGGGTGGCCTGCTGCCATCGTCTTGGATCTCCAGACCAATCCACGTAGCTCCTGAAAATTAAATACAAGGGAGTCAACATTCAACCTCTGTGCGTCAGCGAAACGAAGACCTGCCCATGTGATAAGGAGGAATGCACCCAACATCATTGTTTCATAAACTGTTGCAGCGCTCTGAAGGACCCGACGCTCCCATTGAAAGAGAAGCCAAAGCGGAAGCGGGGGTGCTTCCCTCTTATCCTTGCTCAACTTGGTCTTCAGGAAGCTGTCGACCAGCGGGGAAAAACAAATTTGAAAGTTGGTGACACCAGCGATTTTGTACCACCACCGCAGTGCTTTGATGGTAAAATTGCCGGAACTAACATCCCTATCCGTGTCACATGACCTGGATTGTTGCATCACTGTCAAAGCATCGGCCAACTGGGATTCCGACAATGCATGAATGTCCATACCCAACTGTGTCGTCACTCGTACAAACTTCTGCACTGCTTGCAAGTAGCGAAAAACAGTGGTAGCAGCGTAGTTATTTAACAACCTCTTGCGATGTTCATCCGCAAATGGTGAAGAAACCAGTGAGCGATGGACCTCTGATGAATTGCCAAAAAATGCCAATAACTCCGCAAATTGTGCAATCAAAAAGGGGTTGTCACTCGTCAACTTGGAGCGAGTCAACTGGATCGCTGTTGAGGGCCGCACTGAGGGGTAGGGCTTGTCCACCGGATCCCTAGTCCCTTTGTTGATAGGAGGGCATGGTAAAGCTGCAGCTGTGCTTGGGCGCAAGTCTGGCATTGAGATTCTGTCCAAATCTGACGGTGACGGTGAACTTGAGCTGGAACGCATTTGTAAGCTAACTGGATGGTATTCAGTACGAACTACCCTTTCATAAGGACATGCAACATGTGAAACATGGTGAAACAAGTTACTCCGTACGGGTTCATACCCTGGTACTGCTGCCGGAGCTGCTGCTGAGATCCCTGCCACCGTCAATCGAGGTCCTGAAAGCTGAAACCTGTTGTCACATGCCGGATTCCTTGCAGAAGCATGCATCATCGCAGGAAGTCTGGGTCGAAGCTCAAAAGTGGGTCTACTCAAAGGACATGATTTGGGTGTGGGTTGCAACAACTGAGTCGAAGGAACATCTGGGATAAGGTCCCAACTGTCTTCTCTAATCATCTGAGCTCCCATCCGCAACTGATGGAGTCTGAATTTCACGAAATCTGACAGTGAAGTTGTAAACCCGTGTAGAACACCAGCTAAGTCTCCAAATATCCGGAGGCAAAATCAAATCCTCTCGTTGATCGTACAGGTAGGAAACTATGATTGTACAAAGTTCAGCACGAATTGGAGAAGCAAAAATGTCAAGCCAGTTTGGGGCCCGATGTCGCAGGGCCAGCATGGCACACCCCGGTTCCCGGGAGGTGAATGCGATGTGAAACCAAAAAATAAGGGACATATGCCATGAAAGTGCAACCCAACATGCTGAGACCCACCGTTAGATGCTGTCGAGTGAAAAACCCAAACTAAACGCAGCTGTTGTGAGAAAGTCACAGGTTGTTTTTTTTAATGAATGTATGAAACGCAATCAAACAGAAACGCAAAGAAGATTGAAGTCCAGCTTGAGCCAAAATGTTTCAGGGAAACAAAGATCTGAAAGTACCCTGTAAAACATAAACGAAACAAGTACGTTAAACAGAATTGGCAGCTGGCGGAGATCATCTGGACGTAGGCAATCTTTTATTGGAGGCTGGTGCTGAAGCAGAGACGAAATCAGCCATAAGCACTCCTCTTTTGACAGCCACCAGAATGGGCAACACCGAATTCGTGAACCTTCTGTTGCATGCTAATGCAAATCCTAATCGTTGCTACTGTGTTCGACCTGGATTTCAAAAATGTTGGACACCTTTGATTTGTGCTGTTCGCCACGACGTGGATTACGATTACAGACATGCAACTATCGTTCCCATGCTCATTAAAGCGGGAGCAGACGTGAACTACAGCTGTGATAGCATGCCACCCTTGGTTGCTGCAGTCGAGCAGTCGAGTTATCACATCATGTGGTACCTGCTTCAAGCTCAGGCAAATCCGAATGTCACGAATCGCAATTTGAAGCCAGTTTTGCATATTGCCGTCAAAAGAAACGATCCTACTGCTGTGGAAATGTTGCTTCAGAACTCTGCTGATATAGAATTGAGAGATGCTCAGAATCGATCAGCCGAGCAGCTTGCAGCCAGTGCTGCTTTGAGAGAAATGCAAGGAATGCTTTCTCGTAGACATTTGCGGCAACATCATTAGGAATGAAATCATTCCGTACAGAAGAAAATTGCTCAAGCTTCAGTGGAAAAACAAAACTCTAAGTAATGAGATAGTCGGAATTCTTCTAAGTCCGATAGAAGTTCTTTCTGAGGACGATGAACGCATTTCGTTGCTGAATGATAAGTTAACAATTTCTGTTTCACAATGCTTGTTGTTGTTTCATTGGAATTTGCTTGTTTCGGGTCAAGTCAGCTCTACAAGCTGTGCCTAAGGATCAGACAGATAGACATAATGCATAGGCAGATCAATTTCATATTTTTCAGTGTATTATGAACCCAAAGGGATCAGAGCTTTATCAAATAGAAATGGACAAACATGTATCAAGGTCAGCTGTTGTAGAAACCTTTCTATCAGCTATGGTTAGAACCAATGCGCAATGTTAGACAATATATCTCATTCAAGGTATTTTTCTCATTCTGTGGCAATGTCGTGGCAGAGTCCGTGATCGGGTGTGTTCGTGATCGGAGCATGAATCTGTCAACGGCAGATGGAGGCCAATGCGCTAATTGTCGTTGGACATGGGAAATACCACTTTATACCAAAAGGGACTACGATGGTACAGATTTCTTCGTTTGGCACAAAAATCGAGACAGGTACTTGTGCTATCTGTGCGCGCAGTCATGCCCAGATTTGCACGAGAAAAATCCAAAGAGTTTGCGTTACACCAGTTATCAAGAATGTCATGAGTACCGCAGGAACCACATGAAGCCACCGCCTGACCAAAATGGTGACACCTGGGACAAACATTTCCGTGAGTTTTGGCAAGATCCTTGGGGATTGGATGAAACAGCTTCAGTGGCAAATGTTTCAGATTCGAATGCTTTGCAAACTGGAATTGCACAATTGGAGAGTGTTCTGGGTGAGCTACAGTCAGAGCTTTCTGCTCTCTCTGAAAAGTTAGAAAGCTTCAAACAAACAATCAGGCTGACGAGCGCCACTCAAATTTAATTTCCTGACTCTTTCACAGAGTAATCCACTTAATGTGGTGCTTGGGACTGTGCATGCTATTCTTGGTGCGTCTGTTGATTTTCACCAAGGCTCATATGCAGATAAGAGCAATTTGCAGATACTGGTCTGTGCTGTCAAAAAAACAGATGCTAGCCACGTCATTGCTTTACATCGTCGTTGTCAATTTAGGATTATCATCTCTTAAATGTGATTTGCATTCAGTTTTTTCTCTATGGCAATTTTGTTTTGAACATCTCCAAGTGTTTTGATTTTTGTTTTCCTAGATAGGTCGAATCATAAGGCACGAGACATTGGTCATGATGGAAACATCAAGCGGCAATCGCATTTGAAGTCGCTGTCTCGGCTCGAGTTTGCCATTTGTGTTTGAGCTTTTGAAATGCTCATTCGTGGTTACAAGAGAACTTTTCGTGACTTCAGTACTGCAGAGAACAAGGCGAGGAAAAGACGCGATTGCAATGCTTGGTCTAACCACATGGATGATATCAATTCGGATGACAATCGTTCAGAGGAAGATTGGAAATCAGACAATCCCGAAGAAGATTTGCAGCAAATCAGTGCCAAACACTACATGACAGACGAACTTGCTTCCAGATGGTACAGAATGATGTTGAAGACAGTCGAGCTTCTGACAGATGATTGTCTTGCAGTTCTGCCTTCTTACTTTGGAGGACCCAGACAAGCTCGTTTATCTCGTGAGATCGAATTGACATCTGTGGTTCAGAAGCTGCAAGATTTGAGCTCCGACATTGTCGACATGTGCAACGATAAATTACTTTCAAAAAAACAGTCTGAGGCATTGACTGAAAGAATCCTCAAAAAACGCAAACTTCTGAAAGGCCTGCTGTTCTTGGACTCGCTTCTATTTTTGGAAAGTACATTCGAAGGAGTTTTTCTGTCATGTTTTAGCTCTCCGAGTATACCGAGGTCTTCTATACGCAATTATATGAAGCGTTTCAGCATGAATTTAAACACCTTGCAGACTTTATTGGAAAACGGCTGTCTCCTTGAGAGTGAGATCGTGCAGCGTGGATGGCTCGTTCTCAATTTCGATGCAATGCCGGATGAGGTGTTTGCAGAGATGATCGAAAATAAACAACGGGAGCCCACTTATGTTGCTCTCAAAGATATGTTTAGAATACATTTTCTGGATGTTCCTCTATTAGCTGCAGAGGCAGGGCACGATGTGTGTCTACGCTTCAATTTCATTCCCAACGCATTACAAGAAGTTGTGAAGCAAGCCAAAGAGCGCGGTTCGCACACTCCAGAAAGGCGTGTATATTCTTGGTTGCTCCAATTAATTCATTTCGAGAACGAGAGAAAGAGCAGGATTCGAGTGCATGATGAAGAAGAATTAAAAATTGCAATTTGGGGATTTCCATATGACAATTCAATGGCTCACAAGAACCGTATGGCATTGGACAACTACTAAATAGTGGCTGTCTTTTGTTCGCGTTTTTAGAACACGACTGCCTGACAAAACAAAGAGCCCTGCTGTTTTATCAGTCATGATGTTTACTTGTTGTCACAGCACCATTTACATATTCACCTGTCGTTTACATTTTATGTCAAGCTGTGCTAGTCACATTGTCAAAATCGACAAGGGAAACGATGAGAAACAACAATGCAGACATCTACTGCTGATTCCTGCACTGTCAGTTGATCCGTGATCGGGATCGTTCGTGATCGGGTAGTAAACTGACTTTGCTATGATTAATTGAGTTTAGTGGCTTGTGCATAAATCTATTGAACAATTTCATTAGCATTTGCTTTAGCTTGTTTGCTAACCTCTCTCGAAATGGCAATGCCTCTCGCTTGGCCTGAAATTGCTCATACAGCAGAAGATGTGCTGCAGTTCTGCAAGATGATTGGCAGAGGAAGTAACTACACTCAGATTGATGATCTGTCACGGAATTTGGAAAAGGGGTCTACAACACACTCTTGTTTGTTCCAGATGAGCAGCTCAAGTCCGACAGACATCTTGAACGAGATTCCGATGCTTGGCCAACAAGTTTTTGACATGAAGCTGGACGAAGAGAGAAAAGTCAACCCTCACAATCCTGCGAAAACTGTGCGGATCAGCAACAACAGGGTGGTGTATTATGAAAGTGCCTCCATAAACAGAGGATCGTGTCAATGTATATTTTCCTTTGGAGGCGAGAACAAGGAGGAAAGAGTTCGTACTACCTATGCTGCACAACATTCGATGCAGGGATTGGCCATACAGCAGTTCTTTGAAAAACATTTCCTTCAAGACACTGCGTCTTCTTGGTATAGCCGATCTGGAAGTTTCTCGACAGTAATTTGGGTCTATTTGCTTATGTATGTATAATGTTTCTTATTATTCTTATTTTTTAAGACAAAGGCATCATTATAATTTAATCTTTTGGTCCGGCTGAGGTTTTCATTTGCTGATCAACCGCTACACGTACAACAAGAATCATGGAATCTCTTTTCACAATGACATTAAAGAAGGATATGATGTGGACAAAGATCCCATTACTTCTTTCTCCTGCCGACTCGGGTCTTTGCTGGTTATCATCTCCAGCACAGCACCAGAAAAACATGAGAAGACCGAGGGCAAACGTGCGTTTGTTGTGTATCAGCCTCCGGGAACAATTCTTGTGATGGGCGGCAACTTTCAGAGAGCTTACAAACATGGTGTACCAAGTTTTCGGGAGATCAAAGAGCTTCTTGCTTGTGCAGACGACGTGACTTCTTGGGACGGTCTGAAACTAAAATTGGAGTGGTTTTCGAATTCGAAACACTTGATGCAAGAGGAAGTTGAACGTATTGAATTCTTGAATCTGGTCAACGAGCAAGATGCACGTTGGAACGTCACAATGCGATGGGTGAGAAATCATTCACAGCCTTTCTGTCCTCTGAATCCCCGACTCTTGACAAATATCAGTCGACTGGATGAAGAAAATCATCAGCGGAGGAATCAGCAGAAGCAGCTGAAACTGTCGAATCCGGTATTGCAGAAAAAAACTGCAGAGCCAAAGGCAAAGGCCGCTACCCCGGCATTTGCTTGGAACCCGCCCGGAGGAAACAGAGCTCGTCCAAGCAAAAGCGGAACACAGGATGTGAATCCGGGGAGGGAAACGGAGGAGAAAGAATCGGAGAAAGATTCAGAAAAGGAATTAAATGAGATATTTGACTTCGTTTCTATTATTTCTGATGCCCTGGAGCTGCAGATATTATCAGACGATCAGATGATGGACGTGGCATTGTGTGGCAGCCAACAAATTCGCAAAAAACGTTTCTCCACATTTCCGGAACAGTACAATCTTGGTTACAATTTGTACAACAAGATTTCGGCAGCCAATATGAGAGTGAAAGAGGATTTAGACCCGTTACTCAAGGCTGTGGATCGGAAACTGAGGAGATTGAAAAACTTGCAGATGCTTATTGAGCTTTTGTGGTTGGACAGCGAAGGTCAGGGCAATTTCATGAGCTGTACTACTCTGAACCAGCAGCACGAGTTCAACAAGTCAAATGATCATCTGAATCGGGTTGTGATGTCCTTCTTTGACTTGAACGAATGCTTGCCTGTGGACGGCTTTTTGAGCTGGGATCACATGATTGATGAAGGATGGCTGATGTTCAATTTCGACACTTTACAGGACAATCGAAAACCCAAAGCGGAGGTAACAAAATCGAAGAAAGGTTCACCGGTCGTAGCTGATGTCACAATGACAGGGATCGTCAAAGTGAGCCAATTTGACATCCTGTATATCAAGAGAGAAAATATTTTGCCACAGCAATTCCCTTTGCGAGTGACATTTCTTGCTGATGCATCAAAGAATGTTGCTGCAAAGTGCAAGGACAAGCAATCTTTGAGCAGTCAGGAACAATTGAAACTGTGGATGCAACAGCTGATGAACTTCGTCGCGGAATTGGAGGAAGAAAAAGGTTTCAGTCCACTTTTAGATCGAAAAGGATTCATGAAAACCTGCAAAATCGTACTGTGGACACTTCCTCTCTCTGACGCTCTGGAATATAAGAATAAGAAGCAAAAGAAAGCTTCGAATACTCGCGGTTGAGGTCATAAAATGCCTACAAAGCCCAAAGACGTATTGTCTCACCGAATCAATCGTGATCTCTCCGAGAAAAATGCGCCTGGATTGTTGCGATTTGTGTGGTATATGAAATACGGCATTGTCTGGAAATAGTGTTGTCCTTGGTTTACATGATCTTGTTTTGATCATGTATGGCAACTAGATAGATATTATACTCAACTTGTCTCGTCTAAAATGTTTATATGTTTTTTCCACTGCAGCCTTTTCGAGTTTCATTCTTCTGAGAGTACTTCTGCCATGTCCGTTCAAGATCAAGCTTCCAAGAAGGAGGAGTTTTGAAGCTGTTTTTGGCTTCAAGAATGGTTCCGATTCGTGTAATTTATTCTGGTCACCCAATAGTAATGGTATACCGCAAGTGTTTGTGCCATCCCAATCAGCCCAGCCATATCAACGGGGGAGACAATGTACGTATGCTGGATGGCTCTAGTGAGCGCAACTGTGGCTCGTCCAAAGCAATCCTCTTTGTCTTCTGCCGTTGCCCCTCGCCGTCCTCCACTGAGGAAACCACATCCTGTCTGTACCACTACAGAGGAGGCCCGCACATGCGAAGCCTGATTTCAATTGACTTTCCGGCCCCAAAAATGGAACCTGAAAGCGCACATGTGGTATCAGCTGTCTCCATTCACTGGCTCCAATGTGGCGATTGCGATGCAGCACGACCCAGGCAACATACAACACCAGGACAAAAGTTTTTCCTCTTGACTAGCTGCAGCAACCCTCTCCCCTTAGACTCCTGACAGGTCTCATATGAATCACACATATGGCGGATCGCGGATCAGCTGGTTTGCTTTAAAAGAATTTTACTTTATTCCGACTTGAAATACGATCCGCCACGCAGGCCACGCGAAATGAGGATAATTGATCCGCGGCTAAGGATCATGATGCTTATAAGACGCTAAACGGGAAAAACTTTCCTCCTCCTGATGTATATACACCAATCCTTCGCTACTCCGCGCTACTCCGCTACTCCGTGCTGTGTTGCAATTCATTTACCCAATGTAATTGACACGATATGGAAACGATGACGGAGTAAGAAAGTCTTCAATACTTCACCTTCCCACATCTTTCCCTAAGCAGATTCTTACTCCATCCCGTTTTAAATTTATACTATTAATTAATAACGGGATTGACTGAAAGATCATGATTCATATGTCCGGGCTGAAAACTTCGGTAGGAGTCTAGAGGGGCAAGGGGGGCCAACAAGGGGCAGTAAAGTATTCAATACAATCATCCAAATGGAAGCCGGCCACCTGCGCGAAAACCCGCAAACTCCGCAACAACAAGAAAACCTCAAGCAATCACCTAACGCTGCAAAAGGCTGATGGGCCTTCTTTTAGCAGCAAACAATCAAGCCACCAGACGAAACCACATAATAAGAAGCTAACTTCCACCGGGTTCAAGCAGCAACGGATATGCACCCCGCTTGCCCCAACAAGAAACAAAACCATCTACAAAACAGCTTGCTCCGACGGACCCAATTCTGGGTCCGGAAAACCTTCTCAAAACCGGCTTCGCTCAAAAGGGCCTCCCTAGTTGCCTTTCCGGTCGCCATAAGCCACAAAGTTTCTGTTGACACCAAAACATTGCGCTTCTGCAACCCTGATGCAAAAAACTTTACAAAAATGAACCTAAACACGGTCCCAAAAATGGGACCGCCTGGCGGTCCCATTTTTGGGACCGCATGCACAGCTTAGTAAAAGAACAAAAGAAAAGCATTTTCACGGTCCCATTTTTGGGACCGTCTGGCGGTACCAAAAATGAGACCGCAAAATCGCAAAATCAACAGCAAAGGCCGACCCGTCCGAACAAAAATACAACTGCGTTTATTTAAGCAAAAAGCATATAGATTTGGAACAGAGGAGGCCCGCACATGCGAAGCCTGATTTCAATTGACTTTCCGGCCCCAAAAATGGAACCTGAAAGCGCACATGTGGTATCAGCTGTCTCCATTCACTGGCTCCAATGTGGCGATTGCGATGCAGCACGACCCAGGCAACATACAACACCAGGACAAAAGTTTTTCCTCTTGACTAGCTGCAGCAACCCTCTCCCCTTAGACTCCTGACAGGTCTCATATGAATCACACATATGGCGGATCGCGGATCAGCTGGTTTGCTTTAAAAGAATTTTACTTTATTCCGACTTGAAATACGATCCGCCACGCAGGCCACGCGAAATGAGGATAATTGATCCGCGGCTGAGGATCATGATGCTTATAAGACGCTAAACGGGAAAAACTTTCCTCCTCCTGATGTATATACACCAATCCTTCGCTACTCCGCGCTACTCCGCTACTCCGTGCTGTGTTGCAATTCATTTACCCAATGTAATTGACACGATATGGAAACGATGACGGAGTAAGAAAGTCTTCAATACTTCACCTTCCCACATCTTTCCCTAAGCAGATTCTTACTCCATCCCGTTTTAAATTTATACTATTAATTAATAACGGGATTGACTGAAAGATCATGATTCATATGTCCGGGCTGAAAACTTCGGTAGGAGTCTAGAGGGGCAAGGGGGGCCAACAAGGGGCAGTAAAGTATTCAATACAATTATCCAAATGGAAGCCGGCCACCTGCGCGAAAACCCGCAAACTCCGCAACAACAAGAAAACCTCAAGCAATCACCTAACGCTGCAAAAGGCTGATGGGCCTTCTTTTAGCAGCAAACAATCAAGCCACCAGACGAAACCACATAATAAGAAGCTAACTTCCACCGGGTTCAAGCAGCAACGGATATGCACCCCGCTTGCCCCAACAAGGAACAAAATCATCTACAAAACAGCTTGCTCCGACGGACCCAATTCTGGGTCCGGAAAACCTTCTCAAAACCGGCTTCGCTCAAAAGGGCCTCCCTACCACTACTGCAATTCGTGCCGTGGCTCCCGCTGCTGACGAGGTGGTGGCAATCCGCAGACCACCAAACCAAGCAGCCTACCACGTAAAACTTTGATACACAAAGTTAGATCGCGAAAACCCTCGTGCACAAAGTAAACCCAAACCAAAACACAAACCAACGGTGATCGGTTCGAGTTTACGTTGGGTCATAGCAGTTCCAAAAACGATTCTACAAATCTAGACACGTGCAAAAATTCTCCGTTCCTAAAAACCTAAGATTGGTTTCGTGTGAAATGCAGAAAACCTAAAAACGGCTAACTAGAAATGAAAAATGGCAACTCCGTCACAACTCTTTGTGACGGAATGAGATGAGATCGGTTAACTACATCAGAATCACCTGCTAACTACAAAACAAAGTCCAAACTATGCAAGTCCACAAACTACAACTACAAAGCAACTAACAACAAGTTCAAGCACAAGATCGCTACGCTAGCTATACATGGGATGATTTTTCACAGTAGTGTAGAACGATGTCAAAGTACATCAAGCCATGGCGCCCGTTGCTGTTTTTTTTGCTTAGCTCAACCTACTGCTTTCGCTGCTCGAATGCCGTCTGACCACATGGAACAGCTCAACCGACCAAACTGTGAAAATCCTACCTGGTTTAGCGCTGAGAGATCAGTGACGTTACACAGTTTTGATTTCACCGAGTATCGTCTGTGGACGAGTCTATTTTGACGTGGAACGATTGTGAATGGACAGATCGTAGTTTTGTAGTTTTGATTTGACCGAATATCATCTGTGAAAGATATACTTTTGAATGTTTTTGGATGCTCTATGAAGCATAGATCATTTTATGACACTCAACGAGCACAACCGACACTGCGGTTGCACTCGTCTCGTTTTGTAGTTGAGAGTTGTGATGTTTTTGTACTGGGGAGGACCGCCTTTGGGAGTCCAAATTCTATATACCTTTCCAACCCCAAAAATGGGCACCAAACAAATCGAACAGTTCAGTGACATCATCTCGCGCATCTTGCGGTTTCTTGCGGAGTCGTCTGGAGTCACAAAGTTGGAACTCTTTCAGCCCTTTCCCATTGTAAATAGGGTTCCAGCAGGTGTACCGACTCCGTCCGACTCCGGCAAGACTCCGCAGCTAAAGACATCAAAACTGGCACAACACTGTGGTAAAACGGAAGTTTTGCATCTCCAGCCTTCTTATGGAATCTGCTGGAGTCATGAAATCGAAACTCTTCCCCCAATGTAAACAAAGGATTCATCCGGTTTTGAATGCATACTATTATTCTTTAACGGGATGATACTGAACTCCCGGCGACGTACACAACCCGACCCGCAAAGTTGCCGCGTTAGGAGTCCAGGGGGGCGAAGGGGGGGACCCCAAAAACAAACAACGCATCAAGAGACCAAAACAAAACTGAGCAGTGCGACGCCCAATCGTGACAAAACGAGCCACTGCCAACGCAAACACAGAAAAAAGCATCCCGCCAGCAATGTCGCAGCGGAATCAGCACCTCACCCACGGCATGTTGCGAAAACCTGCGACAACAACACCCAAACAATTCCAAACAACATGGTGCTTTGGCAAAGATTGGCAACATGCAGGCGGGGCTAGAGACCTTCAATCAGCAACCGTGTTCCCCGGAATCCTGCCATTCCGTTACACTTGCAAGAGGATTGCTTTTTGTTAAAGCTGCGCCATTTTTCGAAAAAAAGGTCACTGCAGCAATCTCATTTTCGGGGCCGTAAACACATTGGCTTTTTGGACTCCAAGAAGTGGTCCTCCCCAGTTCAGTACGTGGATGTTTGTGTCATCCTTCCTGCCTTTTGTGGTTTCATGGTTTCTGGCGAACTTTTGAAGCAGCTGGGTGCGTTCGGAGCGTCATGTCGCAACCCCAAAAACAGGATTGCCACACGCTCCAACGCGTGGATTTGGCGCGCCCGTTTTTGGTCTCGCCTGCTATTAAAATAGAAATTAAAAACAGCCTCGAAATGGCTCTGTCCAAAGCAAAAAAGCGGTAGCGCGTGGCAATCCCATTTTTGGCAGTGTGGAACCTTGCGACCTGCTCGAAACACGAAGCTCTTTACATTGCGCAAATAAATCAA